GTTGGGGCCCCTGACATACAAGTGAAAGACGTGGTGGGATTCTAGGCCCCTGGCTTTGGTCTGGATGACTGGTTGTTGCAGTCATCTGGAGAGTGAACCAACAGGTGGAAGTGTTCTCTCTCTCTCTCAAACACACTTAACTAAGTAACTTTTCAAAAGAGAGAGTAGAGAGATTCGGAATATGGCTATGAATTGTGTAATATTTCAGGTAACCGGATTGCGTATGTGGCAGTGGTCCTGGAAGTCGTCTAGTGGTTATGGCTGTTTTAGTTTAGGTAAATTTTATCTTCCCACAAAGATGAAACTGGTTAACAGTGAATGCATTCTCAGAATGTGTCCCTGCTGTATCACATACGTAACATCACATGTATCAGTGGAAGTTGAATGAAAAAAAGTATGACAGATCCAGTTGTGAAGTTACAGCATCCATGCGTACAAAGGACTTATTTTTGGAATAAGATGAAAAAATATTCTCTAGGGGAGAAAAGAGTAATTACAACATATATTAGTGATGACATAATCATTAAGATAGAATATAGAGCTTTGGTACTAAACAACAGAAAAGTGAAGTCTGTTAAGTATACAAGTGAAGGAAACTTGATTTCAAGCCTTCATATGGTTTCATGAGCATATTTAATATCAGCATATTTTGGCTTGTGTGGTAATACTTAGGAATGTTTCACCTCATTATTTTGTAAGGCAAATAATGAGTCAAAACAATTCTTGAAATTAAGACTACAGTCTTAAATTCTTTAAAATTTATTTATTTATTCACTTGGAAGGCAGAGTTACAGAGAGAGAAGGACAGAGAGAGATCTTTCATCCTCTGGATCGCCCCCACAAATGGGCTGCAATGGATGGAGCTGGTCCCGTCTTGAAGTCAAGAGCCTCTTTTGTTTCTCCCACTTGGGTGGCAGAAGCCCAAGTACTTGGTCCACTGTCCACTGATTTTTCTAGTGGCATCATTAGGAATCTGGATCACAAGTGGAGCAGCTGGGACTTGAACCAGCACTCACATGGGGTGCCAGTGTCAAGGCAACCACTTTACCCATATAATACAGTGCTGACCTGTAAAATTTTTCTAAAACACACTAAGAGTGCTTTAAAGCTAAATGTTTTGGAAACACAATCTAGAGACTCTTCCCTTGGATTAAAAAACAAACAATATTGAAAAACAATTTGAATTAAGGTATATGGTACATCTAACTGGTACTTGGTATTATTTTGAGAGACCTCCCAACTGCCGTTTTAGGACCAATATAGACATTGCTTTTAGAATCTGAATTTTAAAAAACACATTAAAAAACAGAAGGCTTGCATTACAATGTGGTGAGTTAAGCAGCTGCTGTGGCACCGCATCAAGGTGCCAGGTCTGTACCTTTACATCTAACTCCCTGCTAATGTAGCTGGGAAAGCAGAAGATGGCCAAGGCACATGGGTGCCTGCACCCAATGTGAGACCCGGATGGAGTTCTGGGCTTCTGGCTTCAGCCTAAATCATCCTGGGCTGTTACACCCATTTTGTAGAGCAACGAAGCAGACAGAAAAATAAATCAATCAATTAAAAAAAAAAAAAGACTATTATGAAAAGCAGGTTAAAGCCCCAGAGAAATTACAGTCTAGCTGTAATTTACTCAGAGAAGTTAATGAGTTTCTTTATAAAGAGTTTGGAGCTGGCACTGTGGTGCAGTGAGTTAAGGCACTGCTGGGATGCCTGCATGCACACCCCATGTGAGTGCTGGTCCACTTTTAATCTAGTTTCCTGCCAATGCACCTGGGAAAGCAGTGGGAGACAGCTTAAATGCTTGAGAACCGCTTGCGACATGGGAGATCTGGAAGGAGCTCCTGGTTTTCGGCTTTGGTATACCCCATCCCTGGCTGCTGTGGTCACACTGGGGGAGTGAATCAGAAGACAGAGGTTCTGTTTCTCCCTCTGTTTGAGAGTCACTGTCTTTCAAATAAGTCAATACATATTTTTCCTTTTTAAAAGCAAATTGGACTATGTATGGCTAGAGGACTTTAAAAACACATTTCAGCTTTGTGACTGCATGACTGAGGGTTCAAAGTGCTGTCACCCAATTATGTGCTTCCTCCCCTCAGGGAATGCCAAGCAAGGGACAACAGAGGGTCCAGGCAGGAGGCTTGTTGGCACCCCTTTGCCTCTCTAGACCTATCTGTGCAGCTTCCTCTCATCTCAGCTGTACAGAGGTCTGAATAATATTTTATTGGGAATAAGGGGAAATTGAATCTTTCAATCAAAGGCCTGAAAATCACTCCCAAGATAAACTATCACAAGAGACTGATTGCTATCATAATAGATTTCTAAGAAGTAGACATGCAAACTGAAATTGGATCTCTGTTGCAATAAAAACAAAAGCAAAAAACCCAAACATTACTGTACTCAAATGCGTATTAACCATTACAGTGTGCAGTTAAAGATAAGAGGATACAAAGATTTCTTTTCCCGAAGCACTATGATTTTAGAGGAGAATGCTGGGCACAGCAGTTAAAAAAATGCCACTGGGACATCTGAGTTTGAGTCCCAGCACTTCTGATTCAGTTTCCTGTCAGTGCACATCCTGGGAAGCAGCAGGTGATGGCTCAAGTACTTGGGTCCCTGCCATCCACCAGGCAGACCAGGATGGAGTTCTGGGCTCCTGGCCTTGGCCTGGCCCCAATCCAGCAGCTGAAGGCTTCTGCGGAGTGAATCAGCAGGGGATCATTGTTTCGCTGCCTTTCAATAAGTAAAAGAAGTCCTATGACTTCAGAACTAATCAAAGTTCTAATTACTAGAGAACAAATCTTACTCGGTATTCTTACTTCAGAAGAGGCTGGGGTAACTTAAGGAAGCCAGACAGTGGAGTAGCTCTTATCCACCTCAGTCCCTCAATTAGAAAAGCTCTGATTCCATGATAAACACTGTTCTTCCCTTTGTAAATAATGATCAGAAAAACAATCTACAAAGCAGGTCTGAGGGTGGGGTTGGCGGAACGCCTCTACTGTGTGATCAAGCAGAGAAATGAAGGAAGAGGATCTGCCTCATGAGCGAGGTTTGTACAGCTGTCAGGTCTTAGAGACAACTTGCAGGATGCAAGGCAGGGCCCTGTATTTCCAGCAGCTCCAGATCCTAGGGTTTTTTGAAGCCCAAGCCTCCAATTCTCCTTGAAGACCCAGAGAAGTATCTTCAGAAAACAGAGAACCACCAAGTGAATTCTCAAGGACTAAACGGAGACAGTGTAAAGTCTGATTTCTTTGAGTGGTTTCAAACTGAGATACTGGCTAAGGTAAACTAACCCCAAACATCCAAAATACAAAAAGCAAAAAACAAACCTTGTCTCCCCCCCCCGCCAAAAAAGACTTTGCATACCAAGATATACTTAATAGTTACGAAAAGTCAAGTAGAATACCACCACAGGGGCAGGGATAATCAAGGGGGCAGACAGTCTGATCTCTGTGTGTCTAAGCAGCAGTACATAGTCACGGCCAGCTGCTGCATTCTGAGGGATAGGGCACTTTATTCTGAAAAAGTTAAGGTGGGCATATACACCAACCCATTTCATTAATATAAGAGGTTTTCTGGGAAGAAATATAAGGGTACTTGAAAAGTTCATGGGAAATGGAACTGTTCACATGTGGACAGAAAATAAAATATGCCTTTACATCTTGGAAATGTTTAAAGAACACATTCCGACTCAGACACAAAATCGCTTCACAGGCCTATGCTACTGAAATCTTAAAACTATGGAAGAGAGTTTAAGTCTATCCAGAAAACAAATGTTCTGGAAAATGGAGATGAAAGAGTAAGAATTTAATTCTGAGCTTCTCGGCACCACAAAGACAGAAGGGTTAAGGTCGCTTTGTAATTCTGTTTGAAGCTGCTGCCGCCAGGTATCTATGAGGTCTCACAAATGAGGCACTGTTGTCAACACTACAACAAAAATAGTTCACCTGTTTTCCACTAAGATAGGTTGAAGATAATGAGCCCACTAAGGGCTGTGTTTTCATTTATACTTCTATCACTGAATCAACATGCTTGACTTTGCTAAAAATTTCTACTGGCAATGAATGAATGAAGGTAACAGGATTCCAAGTTCAATTTTGTTCTCATGCTGTTTTTTAAAGCCCTAAATGGACAAATTTAAAAAAAAAATTTTAATTTCTCTTTTTTTCTTAAAACATCGAAATACATGTTAAGTATCTAATCAGGCTTAAAAAACACTGGAGAGAATCACATATAAATAAAACAAAAAGCCAAGATACATTTTAAATTCAAAATTCCGAATCACTCGGGCAGCAGTGGGTAACTTCTCTTTTGTTAAGAGCCATCTGGACAATAATAACATAATTTATGGGCCATATAAAATTATTAACTTAAAAATCAGCCTGCCACAAACTTACTAAATTTCAAATTCTACCTGTGATTGCCTTGGCAAGTCCAGACCAAGGCACTGTGCCACTACGGCCCACAGGCTGGATGTTCCCCCATGCCTGTAAGAATTTCCAATCTTCTCACTGCACACTTGAGCTTATAATACAACATCACGAATACTTTTTGCTTTGTTTTGGCAATTCTTCATTTGACACAACAAATTGGAACAAAGATTCTCTTTTTAAAAAATTATTAGGTCATATTATGACGATTTACACAACATGATGAATGGATTGTTAAGTTGAACCAAATGACACTGACAATATGCAACTTCTTTTACTAGATATACAAAACCAGTGATCTTATGTAATTCAACATGTTAAAATTAGATAAGATTAATGATTTTTTCTCTGTTTAAAAAATCAAAATGCAGTTTCTTTACAGGGAACTTTTACCTGTAAAACTTGGGTTATCTGTAGGTACCGATAAGCTTAATGATAAAAGGGAAGCATTTTAATTACAATGTGTTACAGAAGTCTCTCCTAACGATAAAGTGCTGAACTGTTATTGCACCTTTGGATTGAAACAGTAAACACACATATCAAAACAAAAGGTGAGAATTCCATACTCACATGCTTAAAACATGTAACTGGCGCTGCGATAAAGCTATTGCTATTGATGTAGTTTCCCCAGCTGAAACCTTCCATGGAAACTGCTGAAATGAAATAAATTCTGATTTATCACAAGTTGCAGATCTTTTATTCACAAGGTCATTATTGTTAAAAATGTCAAAGGGCATAAAATTAGTTGATCTTCTTTAATAAAAATTTATTTCTGTAAAGATCAGAGAATTCTCTATTACTTGAGATTTAGCTTATATTGTGTTTGTAAGCATACAAAAATTTCAAAAGTCTTCCACATGGAACACTTGCTCTGAGCTCTCCAGCTGGCAGCGAGCAAAGCGCAGCTGAAAGGAGTGTATACAGAACAGACACTGCCAGGCCACTGCGGCAGTTGACCAGGTTTTCTTCTCACTTAGCTCTTCCTCTGGACCTCAGAACTATCTCCCCATTACCCCTACCTAATACCTTCATGAGGGCTTTTAGTAATTGCCACACTTCCTACTTCTCTCCTTGCCCTGTGCTCTTACTAAGAAATTTCTACCAGAAATGGTCTCTTCCTTGCATTAGTACTCTCCTCTCCCCATCCCTTTCAAGTTTGTTAAGTGTCCTGTTTCTTTGTCCATTTTTTCCCAAGTTCCTTATCATTCATAACATAGAGAATACACAAAAAACAAATCATAAGCCAAATAATTATCATTAAGAATATTTCCACAAGCACTAGAACATGATCTATAGCCATCACTGGGAAGCCTAGACTAATAAAATTATAGGGCAAAGAAAAAAAAAAAACCCCAAATCTAAAAGTAAAAACACTCTTAATTAAACATAGATTTGGCCTAGTAATTAACATGCCGGTTAAGGTGTGGCACACTAGCCTAGCAACTGGAGTCCTCACCTTGAACGTGCTAGGATCTCATATGGGCGCTGGTTCTAATCCCTGCATCCCCGCTTCCCATCCAGTTCCATGCTTGTGGCCTAGGAAAGCAGCTGAGGACAGCCTAAAGCCTTGGGACCTTGCACCCATGGGGGAGACCCAGAAGAAGCTCTGGGTTCCTGGCTTCGGATTGGCACAGGTCCAGCCGTTGCAGCCACTTGGGGAGTGAACCATCAGATGGAAGACCTTCTTCTCTGTCTCTCCTCCTCTCTCTATATCTGACTTTCCAATAAAAATAAATCTTAAAAAAAAAAAAAAAAAAAAGATACTGGCTAAGCCATGTATCCCATATTAGAGGGCTTGCATTTGAAACTCATCTGTGGCCCCAACCTATCACATCCTGCTAATGTGGATTCATTGAATGACTGCCACCACCCACATGGAAGATGTAGACTGGGCGCTGGGCACCTGGCTTAGGTGTGGCCCAGCTCTGGCTGTTCTGGGAGTTTGGAAAGAAGATCATGGATGGGAGCTCTGTATTAAGCTCTAATAAAAATTAAAGACAAAACAAGATTCCAAAACTAGATGTATGAACACCAAATGTTACATTACCATTACATTAATGAACATTACCTGCTTTTGTTTTTGCTTGATTTTGCAAGGTAGCTTGATATTGAGCATATGCGGCTAGTTTAGCAACTAAAGGTTGTTTCTGAAGAACTTTTGCTTTCTTTGTTGGAGGCTTACCCTAAAACAAGAACAGTTAAGTAAATAGGATTCTTCTTCACCCCCTGCCATTAAAATTTAATTTGATTGCATACTACTCATTCTGCTTAAGTAAACAAAGGTTTAGAAAATTATTGAAGCAGGGGAAAAATACAAGTAATTTTAACAAGGAAAAAATTTTTTTCTTAAGTTCTGCTACAATGTATATATATCTACACAGGTGGCAGAGTTGGCATAGCCTAAAACAGCAATATGCAAATTAATATGTTAATAAAAATTATATCTGTAAGATGTTAACATATAGGCTGTGATGGACACTTTATTCCTTCATCCAGTAGCTAGAACCAGTGGTTATTTACTCATGCAGGCTGCCAAGCATTGCTATTTATATGGTAAGAGAAGATAATTTAATGTTCAGAGAGCAAGTGACTGAGGTTTATACCTTTAGTGCTAACGCAAAAGATCAATGAAAAATGATCATGGGCCAAATTCAGTGTGACAAACTGCCATCCATGTGGGTACAGACCACTGCCAGGATCTTTAGGTTTTGTCTATCTGAAATATAGAAATACATCTAAGTGATGTATTTCCTTGATCTGAGGACTTAAGTAACTCATTGCTATGTAATGATCACAGTAAGTTAATGAGATAAGAAACATGTGATCATATAACCAGATATTACAAAAACCACTTATGTAATACCTTTAAGAGTTGTTTATATGCGATACTATAACAACTTGGCTCAATGGCCAGTCTTCAGTCATTCTGAAGGTACTGATGTACACTTAATAAGCTAAATTACTTTCTTTGCACACTATATATGTTTAAAAAAGATTATCTGAATCAACCAAATGTATCTGGTCAAAGTATCAGATAGATTGTGCTCAAAAGCACAAGGCAAGGACAACGGGGATTTAAGATGATCACAGACTTTACTTGGATGTTAACTCAAAAGGAAACGAGGGGGGAAGAAAATGGTTTAAATTACTGGAAAGTATACTTTGTATAAACAGGTATTCAGCATATTTACAGTTATCTGGAAAAGAGCATTTTTAATTCTCTTACGCAAACACTCATAGTTCATTTTAGATAACATGCTTTGTCCATCCAAAATTAATTGCTTAATTAAGAAAAAATTAAGTGGAACAATTTTGGAATCCCCTCATTTCCTAAAAATGTGGGGCGTAACATACTGGTTAAACTGGGTGGAAGGTGGAGTGCAGTGAATCACAATCAAATGACAGATAAATGGTGAAAGCCACAGAAATAACAGATATAAAGAATAAGAAGGTTTCTGTACCGTTACCTGAAGTCTGGCCAAAATGCTTGCCTTCTTGGAGTTGGACGAATAGCTTCTTGAACATGAAACGCTACAGAAACGCTTTGTTTTAGAGTAAAATGCATCTCGTACGCCAACCATCCCACACATCTCGCAGGTAGCTAATCAACAACATAAGAGTTTGGGTGTTATGATCAAATGATACATTTTAATCTAACAACTCAGTAATATCTCCAAACATCTAAACATCTTTGCTAAATATCTGCCCTGAAAATTTCTTCTGTTTCCTGTACAAATGATAAAAGATGCCCACATGAAATTTAGGAAAAAGATTGCTATAATGTCACGATAAGGGTTTCCAGGTCTAATAACAGCTCAAGGTCCGAAAGGTTTTAAAAAGGCTGAAAAAGCAAAACAAAAAACAAAAAACACCACAATCAAATGTTAAGTCAGTTTAACCAGCATTTCTGTAGTGTTTACCATGTGCTTGGCATTTTTGCATGAACTCCTACTTTTGAAAGGACTATAAAACACTGGAAAGTGCAACACAAATTTTTGCTACAAAGTACTGCACTAACTTTAAAATTACTGCAAAGGTTGAGATCTGGAAAGAGCTAACACTTAGAAAAAAGCTAAAGGCAAATGCAAGACAAAAATTCTTTCTGGTTATGTTCAGAAAAGAAGAAAGAAGGCATAGGCTTAAAGCTTGAGGTAGGCACTCCATTGCCAAGCAGAACTCCTGACTACCATCGTACATAACGGCCAACACTCTGAGAGTCAGAATTACAAGAACAAGGTCCACAAGAGCAGTGCCACAGCCAACAACTGCCTGAGTGGGTCAGTCTCCACCCACATAGCTCGACTGGAGACTTGTGTCATCAGATGAAAACATGGTATCTGATAGAACACAGAAAGACTTTCTACTAGAAAAATTCCAGAATATTTTGTTAAAAATTTACATTAAAATAAAAAACCAAAAAACAAACAAAAAAACACTGTGTGGTCCAAAAGGGATACTGAAACCTTGTCAAGAACCATCAACCAAACCACATGTCTGGAGACCTGGATGCAAAAGACACCAGTGCAGGGCCTTCATGTAGTGTTGTTCATGGCCATTTCTCCAGTATTCAAAATAGAGGACAGTGTGATATACACAAAGTCTTGAAAACCTTTACTTCTTTTTCTGCTAAGACCATCAGGCTGATACAATCCTTGACAAGAATGCATAAAAGCATGACATCTGAGAACAATTCTCATGTAGTTTTGTCAATCAGGAATGCAAAATCTGGGCTGGAAGAGAAGACACCTCAGCAGGTTTTAACTAATAGGATGACCACACCTAGTGGGCTCTGATAAATCCATGTTTTTATATAGTCTGCAGGACTATGACCTTGCCCCTGTGCTATTCATTTAATCAGACGAGATCGGGCGCGATCAGGGTGGTATGGCCGTAGACTCATTTAATCAAAAGACTAGAAAATGAGTATCTATTGTTAATGATGTAAAACTAGAATATTATTAGATGACACGCATTGAACATGAGGTAACCAAATCTTTAATCAAAATTTCCAAGACCAGGGCCATGGTTGTGGCATAGCCGCTGAAGCAGACACTGCGATGCTGGCATCTAGTGTCCTGGCTGCTCTACTTCCCGGATCCAGCTTTCTGCTAATGACCCAGGAAAATGCCACCCATGTGGGAAATCTAAAGGAAACTCTTGGCTTTTCCCGGGCCCAGTCCTGGCTTTTGAGGTCATCTGGGGAGTTAGTTGGCAGATGAAAAATTTCTGTTTCTCCCTTTCTCTTTCAAATAGATAAATAAATCCTTAGGAAAAAGATTTCCAAGACCTAAAGTGTATAAGAAAAAGGCTACAGGAACAGATTCAGTTTCACACCTGGAGATAAAAATGCAATCAACTGCAAAAACACAACAGTAATCTGAACTGGTTTAATTTAGGTAGCATCCTAATGCTTCTATTTTAACTTTGTCCTACTTGCTTTCCATGAGGGAGGCAACACAGAGATCATACACAAGACTTGGTGTTTTCAGCTGGAATTATAAAGTTCAGATTCTGTGTCTACAAATAGCCACATAAACAGTTTCCCCCCTCACGTAAATATTGTAAGAAAAATGACAGAAGCAGTCAAACAAAACACACTCTCCAACACAAGGCTGTCCCACTGATGATGGTTAAAAATGCTCACCCATGCCAGATTTCCCATCTGGATATGTGTAGACTTGTCCATTGTTTTTGATAATGGGGAGGTTAGAAGGTAAAGGAGCAACTTCTTCTTCACTCTCCTCAGAGCTGGAGCTGCTACTTGTGTCCTCACTGCAGCTATCATAACCGTCAAACATCCCGGACGCGTCTCTTCGGTTCCTTGTGGGTCGTGAGGAACGTTTGGTCTTAGGAGCAGAACAAGCCAGACACATGTAAGACCTCAGAATACACCCTGGATCAACGATCATCTGAGAAATGCCTTGAAGAGTATGAAAGATGAAAATGTATCTTCAGGAAGAAACAATCTACAGGAAACAGAATTAACTCAGGGGCCAAAAGGCAACTTCAAAAATATTATTTTTTCAGAGGTGCAAGAATAGGATACTATCAGGGAAGAAGAGGGAACTCAGATTCAACAAAACAAAACAAAAACCCCTTAAAACTACTTATTTTGTGCCAGTGTTGTGCAGTGGTTAAGTTGCTGTCTGCAGTGCTGGCACCTCATCGGAGCTGTTCCACTTCCGGCCAGCTCCGCACTGACGCGTCTGAGAAGGCAGCACGCGTTGGTCCAAGCATCTGGAACCCTGTCATCAGCTTCGGCCTGGACCAGCTCTGGCTGCTGTGCTCATTTGGAGAATCAAACAGGGGATTGGAAGACTCACCTACATCCAACCAAATACTCAATTATAATGACAGGATAGATATTTTCAGATATTACACTTTCTAAGACTTAGCCCCTACGTTTATTTTTTCTTGGGAAATTATCATATGTGTTTCATTACATTATCAAAGTAAACAGAAAAAAGTCACATGACTCATTCAAGAACTCAACAGTCTAACCAGGACACAGGTAATGGAAGTTTCTACCAGAACGAAAGGGAGATGTCCAGTGGTCTGTAAGGCAGGCCTAGAATGTAAGCACACTGTTATAGAGGATGGATGGATGATGGTGTTGAAGGGTTCAATGAAAAAAAATAAATCAAGAGCTTGATGGCTGATTGGAGTAGATGGAAAAAATGAACCACTTTACAATGCAAATAAATAAATAAATAAAAAAGGAGCTGCGCAAGAAAGGAAACATAGCAATGGCTTGATAAGCAGCAATGCACACTACTAAGGATATTAACACTAGTAATTTAACCAAGCTTTTTAGGCAATGAAATGGATAATGTGAAAACAAGATGATACTTCATTTTCCCAATAAGATTAAGAAACAGCATGCTTTTTTCTTTTTTTCTCAAAGATTTACTTATTGGGCCTGGTGTGATAGCCTAGCAGTTAAAACCTTTGCCTTGTATGCACCGGGATCCCATATGGGCGCTGGTTCTAATCCCAGCAGCCCTGCTTCCCATTCAGCTCCCTGCTTGTGACCTGGGAAAGCAGTCGAGGACGGCCCTTTGACCTTGCACCCGTGTGGGAGACCCAGCAGAGGTTCCTGGTTCCAGATCAGCTCAGCTCTGGCCGTCAAGGCTACCTGGGGAACGAATCAGCACATGGGAGATCTTCCTCTCTGTATATCTGACTTTCTAATAAAAACAAATAAATTTAAAATATATATATTTACTTATTTAGGGGACCAGCACAGTAGCCTAGTGGCTAAAGTGCTTAGCTTGTACGCCTGGGACCCCACTGACATGTACAAGAGCTGAATGGGATGTGGGTGGGACAGGCTGGACCAGCTGGTTGTACATACTGGAAAGAATGGAAACCAGGGCAGGGAGCAGGCCTGATAGAGGTTATTAGGAATAGCCAAGTCTAGGCTGTAGCTCCCACTGTTTTACGTGAAGCTGAGTGTGTGATTGGCAGGATCAGGCTGGGCTGCAACACCCACTAGTTTGCGTAGAAGACGGGGCCGGGCGGGAGACAGAATTGATCCAGCAATTGTAAGCACCAGTGTGTGTGTAGGCTGACTGGGGTGATGGACTGTGCCAGAGCCTGTATTGGCAAGCACATATAAAAATCAGGTGTGGGATCACCTCAGATGAGGTTTCTTTGGCAATTCCCCACCAACTGAACCTCTGGACTCAGAACTCCAACCATGCAGAGAACTGCATGTTCCGGGGTCTGACCATGGAGTGCATGTGTCAGAGCTGGGCCTCAGCTTTCTCCAGCATGCACCCTGGGTGGCAGCAGATAAAAATGTCAAGTACTTGCATTCTTGCTGTCCAAGTCAGAGATCCGGACTGATCTGGCCATAAAATGCAAATAAAAACTAAAAAAAGACATCTATGGGGAGACATTTAAAGATCAGGCAAATATTCTGCTCATCAAAATTTCACTCTGAATTTAGCATCCAAAGATGACTCCTGCTCAAACCTATAATTATGACTTCCCAATCTCAGCACCCCCTCCATGTTCACCAGTCAGTATTCTGCAAGAGTAAGTCCCCCTTTCCCCTCCTACTTGTTCATTACAGGTACCAGTTCAGGGAATTTCCCGCTGGCTTATCATTCATTATTGTCCTTAATCACTTGGTTGTGCAAAACGTCCCAGAGGAAGCCCCTCCACGCCAACTTCTGTCACCCTGATGTGATCTTGTCACTTTCTGAGCAGCTCCTTACCCTCTGGCTAACAAACTACTTCAAGCTTCTCTTAAAATTGTCTCTTTTCTAGTCTGTGAAGCAAACACTGTTCCAAACAGCCTTAGCTCTAGTGGGGAATGAAATGAGGGCATCTAGCCTGAGAGTTAAGAATTATACATCGCAGGTCCTGATCCCTGCTCCCGGCCAGTTTAGACCCTGGGAGGTAGCAATGATGACTCCATTAGCTGGAGTGCTGCCATCGCATGAGAGACAGAGAGAGATTGCTGAAGAGCTGAGGGCTTCCTTGTTGTCCTTCCCCGAGAGTCACAGGAAAGTAAATTCAAGATTTACTTTTTTCCCCCTTCAATGTGGTCATCATTTAGTAGAAATAAGCTGGTTTGATTTACACTGGACTTTTAGTTTCCTCCATTATCCTTATTGAATTATTCTCAAATTTTTGGGTATATCTGCAAGATACTCATGTTTCTGAAAACAAAATAACTATACAAAATGGTATCAAAGAAATGTTTTCTTTCCTGGTCTCACCATCCACTCTTAGGTGGGAAACATTATTATTTTCTATTCTATGTACATTTTCCTGTCTATGTATATTTTGAATATTTGTATTTTTTTTTCTTTTTAAACAATTTTAAAACTTCTTGGAAAGGCAGAGTTACGGGAGGGATCCAAGGAGACAGATCTTTATCCGCTGGGTCACTTCCCAAATGGTTGCAGCAGCCAGATTTGGGACCAGCTGGAACCAGGAGCCTGGAATCCATCTGAGTCTTCCACACTGGTGGCTGGAGCCCAAGTACTCGGCAGGGAGCTGGATGGGATGTAGAACAGCTGGGACTTGAACCTGTGTTCATACTGGATGCTTGGTGGCTCAGATGATGACGTTAACTCGCTGTGCCACCATGTTGGTCCAGCTCTTCTTTCGTATACAAATAGTCATATACTATATTCTCTCCCTTTGGAATGAAAATCACATGAATTTGGTACACAGGCATCTTCCTCATCCTTTTTAGCTGCATCGTACGCCATCATGTGCTTGTTTATTCAACTACTTTCGTGTTTGTACAGCTTTCAATGTTTTACAATTCTGAAGACACTGCAATGAACTCAGGATTATTTATTCCTATATATGTGAGGACTTACTCTCAGAAGTGGATTCATTGGTAAGAGTATGCATGTATGTATTATTTTGCAAGATATTGCCAAATCTCCTATCACACATGTTACCAGAGGCATTTCCACTAGCAATTTGAGAGTGCTTCCGTCTTCAAAGCCTTAGGGAGAAATTGGTCAAGTGTCTAAATTTTTGCAAAAATGTTAAATTTAAAATATTGTGTCAGTGGAGTTTTTCTTAGTTCTTTTGAAACTTTCTAAAACCAAACTTTTAAAATAAAGATTTATTTATTTTTATTGCAAAGTCAGATATATAGAGAGAAGAGACAGAGTGGATGATCTTCTGTCTGATGATTTACTCCCCAAGTGACCACAATGGCCAGGGCTTAGTTGATCCGAAGCCAGGAGCCAGGAACATCCTCCAGGTCTCCCACACGGATGCAGGGTCCCAAGGCTGTGGGCTGTCCTCAACTGCTTTCCCAGGCCACAAGCAGGGAGCTGGATGGGAAGTAGAGCTGCTGGTATTAGAACTGTAGCCCATATGGGATCCCGGTGCATTCAAGGCAAGGACTTTAGCCACTAGACCACTGTGTTGGGCACTAAAACTGAACTTTTATGAGGTTGTAAGTGCAGGGCAAAGAACTACTGACTCATAATAGTCAACTACTAAATCTTTACCTCTTTTAGATTACTTTTCCAAACAAGTAAATACTTAATGAACCATCTGAGAGCAGCATTATCAATGTGCACTTTCTAAAAATGCAAGCATACCCAGAACAGTGACATAGTTTAACACTGATGCTCCTTTCAACTTATGACCCAATTCCAACCCATCTGTTATCGTCATCCATACAGCATCCCCTCTACCCAGTCAAACATCATATGGTGTATTCATTATCTCAGTTTCCATTAATTTGGAAAACTTACAAAGAAGGTAAGCCCCTCCCCTCTTTGCAATACAATTTCTCGTGTGGCATTCACTTGGTGCTTCCTTGTTAGACTCGGGTTGTGTATTTCCACATAGCTACAGAAGTGCTGCATCCTTCCCAGGATATAGTGCCCACCCGCCCACACCAAGGCTGTGGGTTCTGGGAACTCTGTCAAGGTCTGGTCCACTGTCACTACTGCATATTTACCTTTTTTTTTTTTTTTTTTTTTTGCAACTAGTAAGCAATCTTGGAGGCAAACTTTAAGATGTGGCAAGTATTATTTGTCACTGAAATTCCACTAACTTATCACCTAATTTAGCAGGTTAATAATTCTTGCCAAATCAAATCCTACTTCATCATAGATATCCCAACTCCAGCACTTTTTTTTTTTACCAGTCCAGGAAATATTATTTTTTCCTTTATCAAATCTACCTGCTGGGCCCGATGTGGAGGACCAGTGGCTAAAGTCCTCACCTTGAATGCCCGGGATCCCATATGGGCGCTGGTTCTAATCCTGGCAGTCCCACTTCCCATCCAGCTCCCTGCTTGTGGCCCGGGAAAGCAGTTGAGAACGGCCCAAAGCCTTGGGACCCTGTACCTGCGTGGGAGACCTTGAGGAAGTTCCTGGCTACTGGCTTTGGACTGGCTCAGCTTTGGCCGTTGCAGTCACTTGGGGGAGTGAACCATTGGACGGAAGATCTTCCTCTCTGTCTCTCCTCTTCTCTCTCTCTACATATCTGAGTTTGCTATAAATCTTAAAGAAGAAAAACATCTACCTGCCTGTCTATTACAAGGATGAGTCAACTAAACCCCATTACTCCTCAACTCATGATTTATCTTTGTCCCTAATGATGAGAGAAGGGACTCAAATAATCCATTTTGGCCACTGCGATTGTTCTGAAGCAGGGCCTTGCCTTCCTGACATGTTCCTATCAATTCCTTAATATTTACCCTACTTTCTGGTATATCAAGATAGTCTTGTTTTATATTTACGTGACTCCAGCCCTGAAATCAGTAATTTCTCTAAGTTCTAATCCTTTAGTTGGGATTAAAAACAAAGATGAAGATGCTTGGGATAGTTTTATACTAGCCTTCTGCACCTTCTTCAGTCTGTATGTGATTGTATCTTTCTTGTCCACCTTTTTTGGTTATTAATATTATATTTTTTCTCCAAATCTTGTGTTTAGGAATTTACCCTTTATCTGTATGTATGGCATTTTTGGGTTTTGCTCATTACATTTATTTGCCATGTAACTGACAGAAAAAAAAAAACCTTGATACAGCAAATTCTATTGGCATTTTCTTACACTGTACCTTGACTGTAAATCAGTTACAAAAATTTCCCTGAAATCACAGTATAGAAAAACTCACCAATTTTGCTTCTGAGTTTGTTTTATATTTAAATCTGATATTTAAATTCTCATGTATGATATAAAAAATGGGTCCAATACATGTGTATAT